GTCAGGGCTTGGGCAGTTATTATATATATGGCTATAACTTCCTGTTGTATCGGCTTATCATAATGAATTTCAACATACACTTATAATCACTAACTGAAGGTATTTACCAAACTTGAGTCACATGCCAAAATGCTAAGCATTACGAGAGATATGGAAAATCGCTAATTGCGCGGAGAGGGGTTAGAGAGGAAAATTCAAAAATACACATTTTCTGCGTATTTATATAGTGCATCTTGGACTGAAATTGGATGTCCGAAAGTCGTATAGTCTCCGAAATATATGTTATTATACGAATGAAAAATCGGAAAACCCCCTATAGGGGTGGAAGTAAGGGGGGAAATTAAAAAAATAAAACAAACTTGCACAGCATACACACATAAGGCATCCTTGTGCAAAATTTGGTGTCTCTAGCTTTTGTAGTCTGTGAGATCCAGGTGTTCATACGGACAAACGGACAGACAGGGCTAGATCGACTCGTCTTGTCATGCTGATCAAGGATGTAAATACTTTGTGGGGTCTGCTTCTTAAGCTCGCTCAAACGTAATATACTCTTGTACACTTCATATACAGAGTATAAAAATGAAATGCATATTCATTTTTTCGGCATAATACGCAACATTTTGAAATTTTGTAACCCTGTTTTGTGTTGTTCCGCTGGACTTTTGCTGGCTTTCGTTTAAATTAAGAGACACATTCCATCATTAACTTAAATACATGTAGGTTGATTCGCAAATTATCATAAATTTGCTGATGTTGTTAAATAATTGCAACATTTATGCATTTCTGGTTGAAATAGTTAAGAAATTAATCACAGCAAAATAAAAGGTGAATTTTTTCAGATTCAAGAAATTATTTTTATTCGTTAATAAATAATTTTACTCTACATTCCGGTGGTTCATTAAAAAACAAAATCTATTTAAAAATTGAAAAACTCTAATCCTAATATTGTACAAGCCTAAAAACTATTTCTATTCTATATTATCGTTCTGCAATAATTCGATATATTCAGCCTTCATTTTTTACTGAGCATCGCTTTTAGTAACTGATGTTCAATATTGAATCGATTTTAATACAATGTTTACACATTCAGAATATTCGTTATATGAACATTTTAAAGAGAGCAAAGCTTGCTTATAATTTAGGCTTCAAAATTTAATGGAAGATAAGGTTTGCTAACGTTCTTATCTCTAACATGGCAACTGGTGTCTCTGCTCTGCTTAGGGACAAACCAACAAAACGGTATTCGTTATTCAAAGCTATAAAAAACATCATTTTATTTGGTTTGAAATATAAGTTTCCGAAAAACTACTCATCGGCCAATAGTTGCAATATTTCTGCCTATCGAAATTTTTATCGATAATGCTGATTTATGCAAAATTTTATGTATAGTCTCGTAATGACCAGCTTCTGCACAGTTCCCTAAACATTTTTCTTGTTTCTTGCTAGACTTTGCACTGAGAGGAGCGAAGAGCTGTTTTTAAAGCCTCGTCAATTATACGAAACTATGACTAAGGTATTATTTATTCAAATTTTCAATAAACCTCTTTATTTTCGTTCATGAATTTTGGGAAAAATTATCATGTTGCTGAACCTTTTTCACGGGGCGTACTGGCAGGTTATCTAGTGGAGTGCCTGTGTACTTCAAATTTTTTTGTTAAATCACAATACGGGACTAACTGCGCGGCACTGATATTGAAATAAACGGACATACACTTTGAAATACATAAACAAACGCACACACGGACACGGACACAGGCTCTAATAGTACCGATAAATTCAGTGGAGTTGGGAAGGACATCAAATCAAACATAGAAGAGACAAAAATAGAAACGTAAAACCAATTACATTTCGCTGCACATAAAACTTAATACGCGCATAATAATAATAAGAATAATGGATTTAGACATAGATATAAAATATTTATCATGATGGATGAGTGCGAACGCAACACAATGAAATAGTAATCGAAATAGAAACAGAAGCAACAAAAACAAGAAAATAGAAAATTTATCCAAATCACAATTGGCAGACATAATCAGGCGGAGCGTCGCGCCGCGCCGCGTTAAGCTCAGCCACCCGCCCATCTATTTATCCAATCATCTAACCATCTACATCCATCTCTGCCTCTAACACGCCATCTATCGTAAGAACCAAATAGGAGAAATGCCAGAAATAAGTATTTGCGTTCGCGCTCAGCTGAATGTGCATGGCCGGAATGATGAAATGAAATGAAATTCATGCATATTGAACAATAAAAAGAAAAGTGAACAAAAATGAAAACGCAACAAAATATATACAATATATACTATACACATATATATATAAAATATGATGTGGGCCAGACGATTTTTTTTCTGCCTCGTACTCGTATTTTATTATGAATGGAATTTGAAACTCTGCAAAATGCAGGCGCTTGTTGGTCGACGGCTGTAATGGAGCATGGAATGGGCAGCGCTGGCAGGGAATACTGGAGTGGGGGAGGGGGGTAGTCCATGATGGTCGGCATACAGCTGCCAACATTTCCATTTTCCGTTGCAATTTTGCGCCAATGCGCAAATCTTGGCATTGAGCGGATTTGCGTGAGCCACGGTTCAAAAGACGCCGCCTGTAAAAACGAATGAAATATAAAAATAAATGCATCGGACAATTCGAAGCTGAACTTCATCATCATCTCCATAATTATCATGTTCTGTTTGCTTTTGCCACTGGCTCAACATTGATCCTGCCCGGGCAAAGACATCCACCACCACTTCCTGTCCGCCTCCATTAATATTTGTACATACATATTTGATTCCTTTGTGCGTGCCCCTTAAGTGTGACGAAAGTGAGTCGCACTTCTCGATGGCCAATTGGGGGCAGAGATCAATGGAAATCTTTTGGGTGATGTCTACATTTTCATAAGTAGAATGTTACTGCTTTTTCAAATTGAGGTTTAAATCTAAATGGCAGTCACTTTAATTCAAATCCTTCTATTAAAATTCAATTGCATTAATGCATGTGCCTATGTTCGAGTATCTAATGCAGATGTTACATGCTTTTCACAAACCTAATATACCCTTTTTACCCTACGGGTACAGGGTATAAAAAGCAATAGATATATCTAGTACTCAAAGAAAGCAATAATACAGTTGAGACCAAGTTCCACATCATCCAATAAGTTGCTTCAACTCGATTAAAGTTTATCAATTAACCTTTTCCTTTTTACAATTGTCAGTTTAAGGTCCAATTTAACGTTCAATGTTTAAATATTGGCCAAACTAGCCATTTAATAGTGAAAACATAGCGAAAAATATTCCCTTTCAAATATTACCTTTAAGTCCAACCAACAATTTTCCCATACTTTCAGCCACACAATAATGTGAAAAGGGAAATAATCTGATGCTTTTAAAAAAAATCAATGCAGAAATACAAAAAAAAACCAGCCTTCAATGAAGATAAAGAGCTTTTCTCAATAAGATTGCAAATAACAAATAAATACGCACGGACAGATGTAAATCAGACAGCGTCCGAGTGCAATATTATATTTCTGTAATTAGTATGAAAAGCAAACCAAATAAAAAGGTTGCAGTCAAACGAAATTAAAGACCCTATCGCAATATCAAAAGAAATGGCTAAAACGCCTAAAGGAGCTTCCAACTGCCACCGACAAATGAACCCAATTTCTTAATAAATTTTAATAAAAATGTAAAGTGCAACCAGTTCCCTGGTTCTTTTTCCGATAATTACATATATTGCAGAGGCGACTGACAAATGTTTTTAAAAGTCTATGTTCTTTATGACTTTTGAAGTCGTTTATATTGTATTTGAATTAGTGATAGTGCCAAAGGTGCAAGTTGCTTCTATATATCCACATATATACTCCTGATTACACTGATCTCTTTGAATTTAATGCTTCTTAAGGTGTTTCTGATTTTAATTACTCGAATAGATAAGACCTTGCTCTCACTTGGTTATTGGATCTTGGGTGGATCTTGGTTCTTCAGGTGATTCTCTCACACACATTTATCAAAACAACTTGTTTTCAGTTAACAAACAAATAAAATTAGTTAAATATTTCATTGAAAAAAACTCTCTGAGCCTTTACATTACTCGTGTGTCAGTTATTGAAAGAGTTTCAAAAATATCCTTTACATTAATGTAACAATGGTTTTTTGACAGCGAAAAAGCAGGAAGAGGGGGAGGAGGAGTTGAGGCGTGACTGCACAACTGATTGATAGTGTGGAAGGATGGGTGGTTGGGTGGTTGGATGGTTGGGTGGTTGTTCGCTCAATCGAAGTATTAATGAATTCAGTGCCGACATTGATGATATCAAAAGTTCCTTATCCTCTTAATTGCTGCCACCGTTTCAGGAGGCAACACCAGCAACTCCAGCATCATTTATGTATGCCCATTGCTGGGGCAACTGCACTAATGGCTCCGTAAAAGTGTTGTGAAGTCGTAAGAAGTGAAATTACGCATACGCACCCATGTGCATATAATGAACGCGAGTGCACACACACACACACACACACACACACACACACACACACACACACACACAATCGTTCATAAAACAATTAAAAATTCTTCCTCCTCTTTGTTTACAAGCCCCGGCTGCTGCTGCTGTTGGTGTTGTTATTGGTTATTGTTGTTATTGCTGCCGCTGCTGGTGGCTGGTGGCACTGCAGTTGTTTTTCCAGCATCCAAGTAAATACAACCTCAACGATTCATGCAATTGACGCCACTACCTCTCCAACTACAACCCCCCTATCCCACCTCCCACACCACCCCCCATTGTGCAAGCGTCTGATTCAAAGAAGCAGCAGCCATCATTGTCATTGCGAAATTAATTAAGAATATTTATTATTATTCACAATATTGGCGCCCATACAATGATCGTCTCTTTTGTTGAACCTCCTCCACATGCCTCGCCCCTTCTCTTGCTCCACTGCTATCGAACAGATGCACTCATCACTTTATTATCATAAATTTGGCTATCTTTGTCTTGTTGCTATTTGCAGGAGCACATACGCGAGTCCAAGGAGAGCAAACTGGACGAAATGGGTCGCAACTCGAAGGCACGTTCGCGCGAGAACATATCAAGGTGAGTTAACGGCTTAACGACTTAACGTGCCGTGCACTTAATTAGCATCGCCGCACGATTCTGAATACCTGAACACCTGACCCACAACACGCTCCACACCTCACACCCCTGCCCATGTGTGGAGCTGGAGCCGCGAAGCACTTGTCTCCACTTGTAAATTATGTTTGCGATAGTAAGAAGGATGTCAGCCAATTATTGTTATTATATATTCTTTCAATTTTATGGACTTCACACTTAAAAAATAAAGAACACTTTTCAGTAACCGCCAATACGAGAGATAGCAGTAAAAAAAGATAATATTTTTTAGAAAAACGAATATGAGATGCAAAGCTTAAAAATACAATAACTGTATTCAAAACAGCAATAGCATCTCGTTAGAAAGTCTTATTGTAAGATGCTCGTTTGTCGATTATCAATTCGATAAGCTTATCGAATTTTAATTTTCCCAATAGGGACACACTTATCTTCGACGGAAGAGTGTTTGCTAATAGTATATTATGTTGATTTCAATTTTTAATTAGTTAGGCTTATCACAATAAGGACACACTGATCTGGAGCGGAGGAATGGAAATAAGAAACTTTTTGCTGGGAAAAACAAAATAATAATGCAACATTAAAATGTATAAATTCTCAATAAATAATAATTATCAAACTCTATGAATGAACAATGAGTTTGTTGCCGCAATCAGAAGCTTTTGAAACACACGAGGCAGGTGTAAAACTAAATGATAATTATACTTAATCTTTACTAGTTTTCTAATAAGAAAACAACAATGGAATGCATTTAATTTACTTGAAAATAGATAAAGCAACTACTACTACAAGTTGCTGTTGAAAAAGTAAAGAATGTACGCATTAATACGCCAGAGGCTAATACCCTTTTTAGTTTCAAAAACCTCATTACCTTCATGCTCCTTTTCGGTTCAAATTAAATGACATTTGTCTTTTAAATTTGAAAATAAACAAAACAATTATCCGTTTTAAGTTCTCTTTACTTCAGCATTAAATTCTCACAGCCCAATACTTAAGCCTTCTTCGTAACAACCATTTATATTTCGCTTAAAAATATTTAAATTGCGCGTATTTCTGTTGATGAGGACATTGGCAATGACTCTGACTTACTTCAACATGGACTTCTGCTTCCGTTCCATTTCGATTCCCATTTCCACTTCCAATTTGCCTCTTTTTTGTGTCGTTTGTTTGTTGTTCGTCGTTTGCCGTTTTTCCTCGGTTGGGGGGCAACGACAGCCGCAGTAGCAGCAAAATCAGCATCACGTGCACCTCACAGATTCATTAAGTTAAATTATATTCGTAGTCGATATTGCTTTTTGCCATGCCGCTGCCACTGCCGCTAAATATACGCAAATTGAGTTGCAATCGAGTCGCATTACGTATGCGCCGCATGGCACACGTAATGAGGCATTGCGCAACGCGGCTAAAAAGCAGTGCATGACAAAAGTGGTTTTAATAACTCGACAATGTGGTAGCTATGGCTTCTGCTTCAGCTTCAGCTACAGCTACAGCTTGAGATCCGGCACTACATACATAGCTGTTGTTGCCTGCAGCTCCTTAGAGTATTCAAAGCTGAAGCTGTGGCTGTGACTGTGGCTGTGGCTGCGTCTGTAGTTTGTGGCTCGTGATTCGGTTCCGTTGCGCTCTCACGTGCATGTTATGCTCGCTTTTTCTAATTTCAGGCAGAAGCACTCACAGACCTCATTACAAATACTCGATGATGTCTCCAATCACTTCTATCGCGAACCTGTTCCCATTTCGACGCAATCGAGCAAGGCGGACTTCAAGGAGAAGGAGCACAGCATTTTGCGGCGCCACAACGACATGACCCAAACCAGTTTGTGCGGCGGCATGGGTGGTCCCGACGATGGCGAGTCCTCCTCCACGACCACAGCGACGCATGAAATCCTGGCAACGGGTCCCACTGCAGCAGCCATTAGGGGCGTGGTCAATGCCTGTGATATGGGCTGTCAAACGAGGTGAGCTAAAAATGAGTATGCATTGCGCCAATTCCTAGCACATCACGCAAAGGGGGAGGGGGCTAAAGGTTTGCTTTATGCGCATCAACAACATGAACATCAACAACGACGGGGATAGTAAGCCGAGGGCTGCTGCAAAAGTTTCAATATGAAGCCATTTCTTCAAAAGTAAAGGGTACAATGTATTTCATTATCCGACCTGCTCGACTGCAGTAACATTCCCTATTGTTTAACCTAGTTTCGCATAGTTTTGAATAGTTTTGAATGCTATGTCATGGGTCGACTAGCAATTAATACTGCAACTGTCCATTATTTATTGCAATTGTGTTTTGTGCTTTGTGCTTTGTGCGAATTGTGGCAAATAGACAGCAAACTGTCTGCCATTTGCCGCAAACTTATTGCCGAACACCATGGCCAGACCAGAATAGGCCAGGCCGTAATTGAGTCATCGAACATGCCTCGCAATTACAATGCCAACTTACGCATTACACACACAAACACACACACACGCATATACATAGATGAATGCATATATTGACGATACATTCACATGCGTTGTTAAATACAAGCGCTTTAGAATTTGAACAAATTACAAAGTCAACTCAGGCAAAGGCAACGGCAACGGCAACGGCAATAACAAATGTAAACAACAACAACAACAACAAGAATCGAACATAGTCAGCAATCTGTAACTCTCGTGTCGCTCCTGTTCATATTGATGCTGATGTGGATGTAGATGTGGATGGCAATGGCGATGGCGATGATTTGGACGAGGCCCGATCCGACGAAGAAGGCTCTGCTCAGCTTTGTATAACACAAATCGATGCAAATATTTGTATTTGCATGCGCCTTTATTGTTCAGGCAGACATATGTAGATGGAAATCAGACATGACGCATTACGACACACACACACAAGCACAAACACACTCACACACACACACACACACACACAAATACGTACAGCCTTAAGTATACAAAATGCTGTGCACTCGAGCAGTTACCATATGGCCTGGCATGCTCCAATTAGAGATGGACACGAGAATACATTATGAATAAGTGTTTATGGAACAAATGAAAGGAAACTCATAAAGTTGGACTTTTGCCAGCACACAGTTCGTGAAACCACAAATACGTGTATATACTTGTATATATATACATGTATAAAGATAGAGAGATAAATAAATTGTGACTGAGTGATGTGGTGGCTTGTGTTTGAAAGGCCCCTCACAACCAATTCTCTAAACAAATCACTTGGAGTCATAGAACGAGACTAATTTCAAAAGCAACACGATTTATCAGTGTGGTTGTGGTTTTTGTTCTATTTAATTTTTTCAACCACAGACATGCATTAAAAACTCAATAACAACTTGTTTAACAATTAAGTCGTATGTACATGCTACTTATATGTTCATTATTATCACCCCACAAAGCAATCGTCGTTTGAAACAAAACATATTCGTGGGCATTTGAATTGAATTGATCTGTGAGAAAGTTCATCAATTTTTATTAAGCTACAGATTTTAATTATAAATTGGATAGGATATCTCTATCAACAAAAAGTGTTTTACATTGAGCTTTATTTCTGCATCTAAGTTGGTGGGGAAACTAAGATAATCCACTCTAAATATTTTAGGAACTGAAAAAAAAAAAATGTAAATGTACTGTCCATCAAAAAGCAAAAAACGCAAAAATTCAACAATGTTATTGAAGAATAAATAATGCATAGTTTTCTAATGCATATTTTCGCTTACCATTCCATCATAATCGAGCATGTTAAGGTTAAGTTCTTCTTGAGGATCTTAATATTTCATTTGAATGTTCTCGTTATCAATTAAAAACCTATATTTTTGAGGAAAAATTAATTGTTCTTTTCAATGAACTAGTAGGAAGTTTAGTATATTTTTTGAATTGGATTTTTTGTATCTTAATATACGTTAATCAATTTTATGTTGAAATATATATACAAGTATGCGTATTTTAAACAACAAATTTGTGTGAGAGGCAAATTCTGTATTTTTATGCAACTGCGGTAGAAAGTTACTTCAAAGTGTTGAGAAAATGTTTAAAAAAATATTAATATGGGATTGGTGGCTTTCGATTTTATAGCTATAGCTATAGGAATGAGCACCTAAATATTTTCCTTGAATTCTTCTCAAATACATATATATTAAGTGAATATTTTTGAGCTTTAATTCGTGCCTTTTCTTTTCTTTCTCCCTACTTGCTATTATGAATTCATTAAGTTTTTGTTATAAAATTAATACGCTAAGCACTTAATATAATAATTCTTTAAAATATCTGTTCCTCTTAATAGCAATTACATAGTTTTTATCATCATATTGCCACCAAAAAATGAACACTGGGTTAAATAATTGTTACCCTTCTTTGGGCGCATTATGATAAAGGCCTCCCTTTTCAGCCATCTCCGAAATCTCTGACCTGGAACGGTTGTGGGACAGGGCATAGCTGGCTAATAAGTTTTCCCCCACCAGGTCTGAGATTTCATTTTCCTCTGCAAAGTTCTTTATTAGTGGTAGATCTTTTGACGTCTCTGATCAAACTTGGCTGTAAGTCGGGACTAGCCGAAAGGCAAATAATATTCCCCCACCGAGTGGAGGCGTTACTTAGATACTATTGATTTTTTTTATTAGATATTTCTTACTGAGACTTTTCCAGCTTATAAGTCTTTTTTACATAACTTTTATTTGTTTCCTTATGTCGACAGTCAACGCTTGTTGATATAAAATAAATTAAATAAATATAAATGTTTGGGGAATAATTGTATACGTATATAAAGCATTGAGTCATCCAGTATGGCAGGCAATAAATATTAAATTTATTTTTTTTTTCTTTTATTATTTTTTAAGTGTTTGAATCACGCGACCAGCTCTAGTTGCAATGACTATGCGCGCCGTCGTTGTCTGCCGTTTTGGCGTTTGTTTATGAAACGCAAATATTTAACTGTTTTCCTATTCTTGTTCTCTCCCCGTCTTGTAGGGAATCGCTGTTTGCCAACAGTCCGAGCGCCGTTGCCACACTAATGAGACAAAAGTCCAGCTCCTCATCATTGGGCGCGACAAGTGCGACCGGTGGCGGGGGCGGAGGTGGTGGTGGCACATTACCGCCACCACCGCCACGCTTCTTCTCCACATTTGGGTACGAGCAGGGCGGGCCGCCATCGCCGGCAGTGCCGCCGCCGCCGCCCGCAGCATCCGCGATGCTGTTGAACACGCTCTCGCGTCGCAGCATGCATACGCCACCGCAACAGCACGAGTCCCTGGAGCTGGAGGAGCGTCATAGTCACAGCGGCCATAGCGGGCCACGTTCGCACTATGGCCTAATAGTGGCATCGACGGTCAACAAGCCGCAGGAGATGTGTCATCATCATCATCAGCATCAGCAGCAGCATCAGCATCAGCAACTGCAACAACAGCAACGCGGACGCGGACTGCATTCGCATGACGAGCAGCAGCATCAGCAGCAGCCACCAGCATCAGCGGTAATGACAGCTGCACAGCACCAACACACGCACGGACATGCACATCCGCATCAGCACCAGACGCATCAGCTGCATCAGACGCAAATGCATCAGACTGGCGGCAAAACGATGCTGCCGCCGATGACACTGCTTAAGGGCAGCTCAGTAGCGCCCGGCGGGACGGCCATACAGCAGCAGACGATGCCGGCGAAGGGCAATCCTGTGCCCGGCAAGCAGCAAAAGAACGAGGAGTCCAAAGTCTTCATTGACATACGAAACTCCGCGCCAGACGTTATTATCATGACGTCCCATTGACATTCAAGGAGTGACCAAGTGACCCGCCGTCAATCAACAATGACCAACAACAACAACTACAGCAACAGCAACTGCAGCAACAACAACAGCACAGCAACAGCACATAAATGCTTCGCACAATCGGCGATCGAAGTTCTTCGTCATCGCGGACATTAATATGCGAAAATGTGAATGTGAAATCTTGTTGGATTTGTAAAAGTTAAAGCTTACACACACTCTCACATGCACACACACACGCACACAGCTGATGGCCAGGTAATAAGTATATATGTATGTATGTGTATTTTTTTTTTGTTTTTTTTTTTGAAATGTTGAAATGTGCTGCAAATTGCTCGCATTATTTGACAGCATGAAGAGAACGAGAGAGCCATGCTGCTGTAGAGTCTGCGTATGTGGGTGGATGTGTGGGTATGTGTGGGCGTGTGTGGGTGAGTCATGGTCGACCCTTTTGCAATTTAACATGTGCTGTTTTTGTTGTAAAACACACACACACACAGCTAGACAGACAAACATTTGCAGGCACGCACGCACACCAACTCAATACAAACAAGCAATTGCTTCGGACACACCAGCACGGTGCCATTGCACGTCCCACATCCACATCCGCGTCTCTGCTGCCGCTTCTGCTGCTTCGTCTTCTTCTTCATCTGTTGTCAGCGCTGTCAGTGCGTGGGCTCGGACATGGTCGAGCAACAACAGCAGAAGTAAAATTTCCGCTGAAAACAATAGCCAGACAACAACAGCAACCACCAGCAGAAAGGAAACACTAGAGATCAAAAGTATATTGAACACGAATTCAAAATACAAACAAAGCTAAACAGTTTTTTTATAAAAGAGACGTGTTATGAGCCACCCAATTTTTGAAAGACAACCTCTTTTTTTAAATCTTTTACCCATTTCACCCAATTGAGGGACTAGTTTGCGCACAAATGTGTGCTCTTCAACTCCTACATTTTTCTCTATCACTTTTATCAAACAAATATAAGCACTTCTATTCGAAATTATCAAGGTACTATGTTTTTGCAAGCGTAGCTTCAATTAAGAACTTCTGCTTGCGAAATTATAAATCAGAAACAAGATAGAACGCTACAGTCGAGCAAGCCCGACAGTAAAATAGCCTGTACTCTCCACAAAAAGGAAAAAATTAAAAAAAAAAAAAATTTTTTTAAAATTAAATTATTAAAAAAAATGAATGAATTAATTAATTAAAATAATTAATTAAATTAAATTAGAATACATGTTTATGTTCAGTTTAAACAGCATACATTTACATCACGTACCTATGCGTGTTTATATGCGTGTTTATATGCGTGTATGTATGCAGCACAAAGTTAAACCAAAGCAGCAACAACAACAACAGCTGCGGGCAGCGCTGCCGACAGAGGCAGCGCATGAGCAGCGATTTTACTTATGGCTATAACTTTCTTCAGAATTGACCTATCATGATGAAATTTGGCACACGGACACATTAGTACTAACTGGATGTACCTACCAAAATTGATTTCAAAATTCCGAGAATTACGGAAGTTATAAGAAAAAATACGAATTGCGGGGGAGTGGGGGGGGTGTATCAGAAAAAATAAACAAACTCGTTCTGCCTAGGGCTTATAGGAACCTTGATACCAATTTTGGTTATCCTAGCTCTTGTACTTACTGAGATCCTTGCGCTCATACAGACAGACGGACAGACGGACAGACGGTCAGACGGACAGACGGACAGACGGACATGGCTATATCGACTCGTCTTCTCATCCTGATCAAGAATATATATACTTTGTGGGGTCTGCCACGCCTCCTTCTGTGTGTTACATACATGCGCACAAAACTAGTATAGCCTTTCACCCTTTGGGTACAGGCTATAAAAAAGATTAAATATATTAATATTTGCACTATATTTCAACCCACACAAAAATGTGAATAGGTGAGAAAAACTATTGCTCTTTGCATTTACAAGCATGATGAATATCTAAATCTCTATCAGAGTCCCTGATTTATGTAAAAAATGGTTGAATTCAATCGAGTGCACAATTATGGATTTAATATCATGTTTAAATCTGGAGGAAATTTAATCCTAAATATTTAACGAAGAGCATTTAACTCGGACGATTTTTTGCAATGCACAGACCCTATTTGAACTAATTGCGTGGCTACTGAAATCGCAGATAAGTATTCACTATTTTGTATGATGTGAAGCAACTCTTTTTATTTCTTTCTATAATCTAAATTTTGTTCTGATAATTTTACTTTTTACTTAGAAATCGTTGAGCAAAAAAACATGCATGATAAGAATTCAGGGGCAAAAACTTAGATTTTCATTAATATAATAGTTTTTAGTCCTTCATGCTATGTTTCGGGTGCTTTCAGCAATTTAATAAAAGTCATTATTTGTATTATTAAATCCAATATGATGCTATAAAGGATGAGGGAAAGTAACATATTTTTGAATCAATGCTTCAATTTTCAATTGAGATCTGGTGGCAAGGAAAAATTGCATACTTCATGATTTTCTTTGACTTGTGATGGTTTGATGGAAGCTAATCAGACTTTCGTGAATAGTTACTATATTGTTATACCTAATGCCATGATAAGACGATCGAAATTCTATTTCTCAAGCCCTAAAAACTATGCTTTTTATAGCTTATTTCAATAAGACAACATTGCGTATGAGTAATAAGATTTACTTCCTTGGGTCAAATCATACAACAATGTTAAAAATTTCGTACTTCACGAATTTCTTTGACTTTTGATGGATTGATGGAAGCTAATCATACGTTCGTCAATATCCTAGTTACATATTGCAATGCCTAATGCTATGACAAAACGATCGAAATTCTATGTTATACAACATTGCGTATGAGTAATAAAAATTACTTCCTTGGGTCAAAACATACGACAATATTAAAAATCCACTTTCTGTTTCTTCTTCAATTCACAAACAAATGTTTCTCATAATTTTTGAAAAATATAAGCAGCCCATTACTTTTGAAGATGAATCACATATTATTGAAAGAGTGGTTATAGAAATATAATTTGATGTGGTGTGAATGAATTCGATGAGCATAGTTATGGCGACCAGTGTCGAAACACTCAACTACATGCTCTGTACATCGAGCGAGCTAAGCGAGTTATGCGCCGCGCAGTTCCACGTGTCGTATAAGTGGACGAACAACGTAACATGTGCCACAACGATGTTGTTTTCCCTTTTGTTGTTGCTGTTGCCAGCATTGTTGTTGTTGTCGTCTGCAGCTTACCAAGCAATGCCATTGCATTCAGTGCATTGGAAGGCCAGCAAAGTCAAGCAATAGTCGGAACCAGTCCAGTCTAAACGTAGTAAGGACGCCAGCCTCATTCCTCTCTGCTCTGCTCTGCCCTGTTTCCATTTTAACGCTCCACAGACTGTCCATGTCCTGTTGTCCTTTGGCCCCACAGAACATGGCTATCATGCCCCTATTCGCAGTACAGAGGGAACTTCTTCATTTACATGCATGACGAACGTGCTGAGTTTGGTTGTCCTTGTCGTGGCCATCGTTGGCTCTCCACCCAGCCAGTCCATCATCCATCAAATGTACGTGCAAATGGTGGACAGAGGAGAGGGGCGGCGTGCAAAGCAATTTGCGTGAAAATAGTTTTTAAGTGATTTTGAAGTTTCCTTTTTCCCTCCCTTCTTTCGTTCTCTTTTGCTCTGTTTGTATGAGTCTGTCTGTCATTCCCGCTTCCTTGCCTGCCAGTCTTTTTAATCATTTCATTGCATTATTTTTCGCAAGTTCCGGTTGAGTTCAGACCATGGCAGAGGATGTCGAGCATAGAAGCAGCCGTCACTCACTACAGGTATACAGTATATAAAAGTATTATTTAACTTGTCTAATAAGATGTGTGCCATAATTTAAAAGGTATTCCAATCGCCAACAATTCTACCAAAACAAACAATTTATCGCAAACAAGTGATACACTTGTGAATAGTATTTTTTTTTTATTTTGCCAACTAGGAAGTGCCATCTATTTTTCAGTTTTTGTTTTTATTTAATCCTTTTTGTCTGTTTTGAAATCCTGTCTTCGCTTTACCCTTTTCATCATAGACGGACTGGCTTATCAATTTTTTGTCCAAATCATCTACAGACATTGACCTGTTTCTGTTGATAAGGGTCAACGCACTTTTATCGAGATTTGGATTACTAGAGTCCTTTTTCCTTTCACTTTTTGGCAAATCCTAAGAGATACTCTACTTACTCTACAAACTTAGTATTAAAATTTTTGAAGCGTTTTGCAAATTGTTTTTCCGTACAGTTCGTACAAGAAAAAAAGAACTTGTCTCCACCAGACTTTCCTACCACACTTGCCATGGCATGATCAGAAATTTATTTGGGAAGAAATATTAGAATGGTAGAATTTCTATTAAACACTTTTTCAATATTAATTCGTACTGATAATTAATTTTTTCTCGTATCGAAATTCATTCTTTGCTTTTCACAGCTGCTATAGTTTTTTGCTTTTATTTATTTCTTCAAAACTCTCTCACGATTTTCTTAGGTGCCAGGTTGCATAGGCAGTGTTTTGAGTCCATAATTTACACATATACTTGTACGTATATTTATATCTCTACGTTTGTTTTCATTCTGCTAAGCTACTTACTCCCAATTGGGAATTCAAGTTTCAATCAAATACATTTCTAAGGCAGCACGAGTATAGCCATGGCAAGGGCTTAAATCAACTCGTTGTGAAGGACATTAAAAATTTTGATTTATGACAGAGAGCTTCCGAAATTACAGCGCGACGGACTTGATATATTTTATCAAATCAGAAATTAGCGTGGCACGCCAAGTTGGCGCAAATATTGAAACAGCTGTGCCCGCTTTTCGCGATTGCCGACTAACTAATTGGGTGGGAGACACGTCAACCCCACACCCCCCTCCCCTGCCACCAAAATCAGGACAGAAGCAATTATTGCCAATGGCGGGCAACTTGATTGATTGAATTGTGGGCGCGAAGGGGAGGGGGGACTTGTCGTTATTTTTGCAGATACTCGTACATAATCAAAATGCAGTGTTAAGTGTTTTACACAGCAGAGACCATTAACGTGATTAAAATGTGATTATGCTGACTACATTGGACAACAAACATTGGTCCCTCATCAAAAACCGCAACCCACTCCGTTTGCTTTGCTTTCCCCACTCAATGTACCGGATGCGGACAACTTGAATCCACAAAATACACAAAGTCACAATCTCTCTCAGCGTCTGCTATACTTACTTGTATTACTATATATACTATACATACATATAGATATTATCATAGAGCCCGACCTTTTTGCATATTTGGCGGACATGTCTGAGTTGTTGGCGACTCGACTCTTCACCTGAAATGATGCTGGGCTCCCAAAATGGTTTTCACATTTGCATGCAAAAAGCCGCAAAACTCATTAAAAATATGAAAATGGCCAAAAAGTGAGAAGAAAGTTGCTGGTTTCTGACTTTTGGATGCTGGTCTCTGGTTGCTGGTTGCTGTCTTTGAAGGATGTAAAGCAAAAAAAAAAAAAAAAAACAAAAACAAAAAAGAACTTGTCTCAAGAAAAGCATACACACACACACACACACTGACTAACTCTTTAAATGTGTTCGTGTGTGGCTATTTGTGAAGCATTATTTAAATACTCATCATCTGTACACGGTTATCCGTTGAATATACAAACATACAAGTATTTCTACAATGAAATAAAACTATAAAGAAACTGAAAACAAAAGAACCAAAACAATTCAGCTGTGCAACAAAGTATGTAGCATTCATTTGATTTCATTTACAAATTACAATAATTCACAGTTAATAGTTTTTATTGTTGTTGTGGCAAACATTTGCAACTAAATTTGAATGAATTTTATATATACGACTAGTGCGAGTACATAGTACATATACTGTGTATTTTAATTATATTGTATGGAAAGAGCGATGCAAACACTGTGCACTAAAATGAAATGTCAAACATTTTCAAATTAATTTTACTTTCGTGTTGTTCGGTTTTTGTTTCGAAGCAATGTAATTGTACATAAACAACAACAACAACAGCTCAAGCAGTCTTACTGTGGGCTTTCGATAAGCTTTTTATACTACAAATATTAACTAGCATAATTGTTAATGAGCCAGTGTGTGCGTACATTTGTTTTTGTTATCTTTAGCTCATTAAAACAATTTATAAATAAATAATTAAATAAAAATAGTGAAAATTAAACCTCACCCCCTCCAAGTTTTGTGGTTGCCGCATCGCAAGAATACGAGTACTACACTTTTTCTAATCCCCAATTTGTTGCCAATTCAAGTTGTGTAAATATTTTTAAGAATTACAAAAACAACCAGAAGCCAAACTAACACTTTTTCACAACATCTAACGATTTTACTGCAATAAGAAATGAAATTGCAACTATTGTAATAGCCATAATTGTTTCTAGGTAGGGTCTAAGCATAATCGTTTTTTGTAAGCTAATTTTTTTTAACAAAAAAAAAAAAAAATACAAAAACAGAAAACAAAAACACATACTTCAAGTATAACAAAAACCAAAGATATAATAATACTACAAACTTCATTAGCCAGCTTTTTTTTGTGGTAATATTAAAATGCAAAAAACTAACGACTGCAAGCATTGTAAATTGTCAATAAACTTTATATGCCATATGGAAAGGCATAAGAACTGTGGCAAACTTATATTAGAACTCACACAACAACAACAACCAGAAGAACAACAAATCAGAAATAAAAATCTCTACCAAGAACACGAAACACAAACAACAAAAATATAAATTAATATTAAGAGAATATGTGACATAATGTAAAAAGGAAAAAAAATGAACAAACCAAAACAGAGAAACAAAATAAATTTAATTGTGGACTTAACCAAACGGAATTCGTTGTTTTTACTTTAAGCAGCCCTGCTGATAGGAAGTCTGTGCGACTTGGCGTCCTTGGCAGCCCTAGCGGGGGCTGAACATATTGGAGAGCGTATAGCAATCAGCTGATGATATGCTTATGATTCTTATTATATACTTCGTCCCATGTAAGTGTTGGTAAATGTTTAATGAAGGCTCTTTCCCATCACTTATTGTAGTGATACGACAACCCTAGGATACAAATGACAACACTGCGTTTTCACATTCAGTATATGATATGATATTAAAACACCCAAAAGTATGCATTTGAGCATCACCTCAAAGCCTAAAAGTAGGCAGTCGCAGCATATGCGGAAACAATCCAACCGATTGACTTGGCTGGCTCTGAATCTGTCTCTGTTGCTTGTGTGACCCAATTAGTGAAAACAAATTAGTCCGGGATTTGTATTATCACATCGATAGAAGGGGAAGTCACATAACTCTTCGGGAAACAAAGGCAGGTGCGACGGCGATTGAGTCATTCCGTTGTGGGACGCAAACGTACAGTGGTAAGATTTTAATTTGTTTTGTTTCAGAAATCTACAGTATGGGAATCGCTTACATAACTTTAAATTCTCTAAATCGTTAAAAATTAAAATCCAAATTTTTTTTAGACATTTATACAATTAGCAATAAAAATACCATGAATTTAAAGTACACTTTTGCCATTTTATATTAAACATCGGAAGCTTACATAATTTTAAACTTAAAACCTGTAGAAACGGTTGGACAAGCAAATAATTTAACTACTACTAATATTGCAAATTTGCTTGAATAGGAAACTTTAAACAGGAAATTAAATAGGCTTTGTGACAGACTTGAAAGGAGAGGATGGATTGCTGTGCAAACTATTTGCAAACTATTTTGTTTGACCGTTCTAAACGATTTTAAATTTGAATAAGCACCTCATTTTCTCTAACAGCCTCAGAGGATTGGCATAAACTAAAGCATTTCCAATAAAAGTGTTGAAAAATTTTGAAATTTCTTTTCAGATTTTTAGCAATGTATTTTACAATACTTTGAAAGGTGACCATAAGTGTGGATGTTGTTAAAAACTAATGCAGCACTATTTCCATTGCTGCCGCACTTTGCATTTGTGAAGAACCAGTGTGCGCCGTGGAATTGTTGACAATGCGAGCTATTAATACAAATGCAAATTTTTTGGCTTAATCGGCCAAGACGTCAGTGGCGTGGCTTATAAATTAATGCACTTCATTCTTCCCATTCAGAAAGATCTCTGATTTGTGGCAATCGGCGAGTGTAGCATTCAATATCGAATATAAAAATAAACAAAGCGTCGTTAAAGCGCAGTTTGCAGTTGCCAGTTGTCCCATCAATAGCTAGGAAACCCACATCGAAACCCACAAAGATGTCTGTTCCAGGAGGCGTGAAATTAACGCCCTTGTTCTTGTTGTTCTTATTCTGCTTGATGGCCAATGCACAACGTCAGCAACAAGCGCCGCCCAGACAAGACCTTCAAACGCCCAACTTTGACGATGTCGATGGCGATACCGATAGCCTTGGCGGTGGCGAGAGTTTCGAAAGCTTTGCCGGCAGCAGTAGCGAGGGGGATGAAGTGCAGCGAAATATCAAGCAGATAGTGGGACGTCAGCTGAGCAGCGCTGTTGTGGAGCCGCTAGCGGCTGCTGTGCCACTTCTCCTTAATCGCCGACCGGCGATTGTGGCGCCAGCGGTGCGAGGTCCGGTGTCCAGCGATGAGTCCGAAGAATCTAGTGAGGAGGAGGAGGAGTCCGACTATAATCCCTGGCGGGATAATTTCTATGATCTGCTTCCGGATGGCAGCTACGTTTATGGGTGAGTTACTTCACTACACAAAATATGTATTTCGAAAGGGGAAGGATGAACCCAAATTCCTTCAAATGATTTAGGGGGTATTTGGAAAATTTCATTTCATTTAGGAAAATATAACATCAGTCGAACAATTACTCTCAGCTGAAAGTACAATTATTTCTTGCATTTATGTGCATGTGATATGACTATTATTTGAAGAAGGTTACTTTCATTTGTAACACTTCGTCTTTCTGATAGAGCAACCCATTTAAGTGTTGGTGAATATTTCGCTTAATGATGGCTCTTTCCCATAACTTATTGTAGTGATGCGACAACCCTAGAATACAAATGACAAACTAGTCGTCGAGCAATTAGCACTGCGTTTTCACATTCAGGCCGAACGCCAGCAGAGAAGCATCGTTCTGATTTCCTAGTTTTAATTTATTTTATAAAATGTTTTATTTATTTATTATTCTTCTTTTTTTTGAGCTATTCTTTGTATTATACACCTTTTACAGGTTAGGTTGGGATTTACCATATTGGAATTATAGGTATTCTTTTCTTAGCTTCCATATGTATGCATTTTTTAAATTGATTTAATCAGCCTTTATTTTATTTATTTATTTATTTATTTTGAATCAGAGAAGCCTATTATACACTTTTTAGAGGTTAGGTTGGGATTTATCGTGTTGGTATTATAGATAGCTAGCTTAAACAACTCTGAAGCAACCAATTTCTTAGCTTCCATATGTATGAATTTTTTAATTTGATTTAATCAGCCTTTATTTTATTTATTTATTTATTTTGAATCAGAGAAGCCTATTATACACTTTTTAGAGGTTAGGTTGGGATTTATCGTGTTGGTATTATAGATAGTTAGCTTAAACAACTCCGAAGCAACCAATTTCTTAGCTTCCATATGTACGAATTTTTTAATTTGATTTAATCAGCCTTTATTTTATTTATTTATTTTGAATCAAAGAAGCCTATTATACACTTTTTAAAGGTTAGGTTGGGATTTATCGTGTTGGTATTATAGATAGTTAGCTTAAACAACTCCGAAGCAACCAATTTCTTAGCTTCCATATGTATGAATTTTTTAATTTGATTTAATCAGCCTTTATTTTATTTATTTATTTATTTTGAATCAGAGAAGCCTATTATACACTTTTTAGAGGTTAGGTTGGGATTTATCGTGTTGGTATTATAGATAGTTAGCTTAAACAACTCCGAAGCAACCAATTTCTTAGCTTCCATATGTACGAATTTTTTAATTTGATTTAATCAGCCTTTATTTTATTTATTTGTTTATTTATTTTGAATCAGAGAAGCCTATTATACACTTTTTAGAGGTTAGGTTGGGATTTATCGTGTTGGTATTATAGATAGTTTGCTTAAACAACTCCGAAGCAACCAATTTCTTAGCTTCCATATGTATGCATTTTTTAATTTGATTTAATCAGACTTTATTTTATTTATTTATTTTGAATCAAAGAAGCCTATTATACACTTTTTAAAGGTTAGGTTGGGATTTATCGTGTTGGAACTATAGATAGTTAGCTTAAACAACTCCGGAGCAACCAATTTCTTAGCTTCCATATGTATGCATTTTTTAATTTGATTTAATCAGACTTTATTTTATTTATTTATTTTGAATCAAAGAAGCCTATTATACACTTTTTAAAGGCTAGGTTGGGATTTATCGTGTTGGAACTATAGATAGTTAGCTTAAACAACTCCGGAGCAACCAATTGTATGCATTTTTATAGCCTGTACCCAAAGGGTGAAAGGCTATACTAGTTTTGTGCGCATGTATGTAACACACAGAAGGAGGCGTGGCAGACCCCACAAAGTATATATATTCTTGATCAGGATGAGAAGACGAGTCGATATAGCCATGTCCGTCTGTCCGTCTGTCCGTCTGACCGTCTGTCCGTCTGTCTGTATGAGCGCAAGGATCTCAGTATGTACAAGAGCTAGGATAACCAAAATTGGTATAAAGGTTCCTATAAGCCCTAGGCAGAACGAGTTTGTTTATTTTTTCTGATACACCCCCCCACTCCCCCGCAATTCGTATTTTTTCTTATAACTTCCGTAATTCTCGGAATTTTGAAATCAATTTTGGTAGGTACATCCAGTTAGTACTAATGTGTCCGTGTGCCAAATTTCATCATGATAGGTCAATTCTGAAGAAAGTTATAGCCATAAGTAAAATCGCTGCTCATGCGCTGCCTCTGTCGGCAGCGCTGCCCGCAGCTGTTGTTGTTGTTGCTGCTTTGGTTTAACTTTGTGCTGCATACATACACGCATAGGTACGTGATGTAAATGTATGCTGTTTAAACTGAACATAAACATGTATTCTAATTTAATTTAATTAATTATTTTAATTAATTAATTCATTCATTTTTTTTAATAATTTAATTTTTTTTAATTTTTTTTTTTTTTTAATTTTTCCTTTTTGTGGAGAGTACAGGCTATTTTACTGTCGGGCTTGCTCGACTGTAGCGTTCTATCTTGTTTAATTTGATTTAATCAGCCTTTATTTTATTTATTTATTTATTTTGAATCAGAGAAGCCTATTATACACTTTTTAGAGGTTAGGTTGGGATTTATCGTGTTGGTATTATAGATAGTTAGCTTAAACAACTCCGAAGCAACCAATTTCTTAGCTTCCATATGTATGAATTTTTTAATTTGATTTAATCAGCCTTTATTTTATTTATTTATTTATTTTGAATCAAAGAAGCCTATTATACACTTTTTAAAGGCTAGGTTGGGATTTATCGTGTTGGAACTATAGATAGTTAGCTTAAACAACTCCGGAGCAACCAATTTCTTAGCTTCCATATGTATGCATTTTTTAATTTGATTTAATCAGTCTTTTTGTAAATATTTATTTTGAATCAAATTTGTAAATATACCTAAAATTTTACCACACTGTTCGTCTGCACCGTCCCGTTGTAGTTACTCGCTGCCAAATGGCGTGCGTCGCTATGAACGCAGCTTCTATTCGGAGGAGCTGGATGGTCAGGTCGTTGAGGGCTTCTATACGCAGCCGCGCCAACTGGGGCACGGTCTGAAGTATGAGCTGCGCTGCTATCGATCCGATATTAATGGCTATAAGGCCTTGCCAGGTGAGTGCAAACAAACACATGTGATGAAATGAAACATTCTTTTGATTTACCCTTCAACCAACAGTGGAGTTTTTGAGACGCCCGCCACGGGTGGAACGCGATGAGAGGCCCGATGTCGATTGTTTCGATAAGTAACGCCATAAAAGTTGCCCGGCTTTTATAACTGATATACATAGTTATTTCTCCAAATATTTTTTGTGCACGTATTAAAATAAAATGCTTATCAACAAGTAATTCATTTGACATCGCACATTATTAATTACTATACTTGTATGCTCGCAAGTCGAGGCACGCCTGAATCACGCCAGGCGATGATCGCAATGGCACCAAACCGGCAACAGCCCAGCAACTAACAACAAGCAGAGCCAAATTAAAGTTCAAAAACGTGAGCCATTTAACACAACAGACAACAACAACAACAAAAACAAAAACAGCAACAATAATGACGCTGACTATGACGACGACGACGAAGTCGACCTGTTTGTCCGCTGCCCAAAGCTGTGCGGCGCCAACAAAATATGCAAATACGTCGTACACACAATGAGATGTTACTGTGGAAATGCACAGAGCAAGACGAAGATGAACGAGATGATGAAGAGGATGATGAAGATGAAGAAGCAACAAAAATGCAAAAAGTAACCCGCAAAAACGCCGCCTCAACCACGCCGAACCTTAAATACTCATGCATATATGTATTCCCACCATCGACACACATATGTATGTACCCCTCTTTATTTAATCTAATTTTTATCCCAGCTCTACAAACGGGGCTTATCTGTTAGGGCACAAGTCACTAAGAGCATGGTTGATTTTAAAATACATTTATTTACTTATTATTATTATTTCTTTAACAAAGTATGGGCTATCGTCATACTTGGAAAAGAATATACAATACGTTATAATTGCAACTTAAAAGATAAAAAAGCCTCAAAAAAATTTAAGTAAAAATTTTTATAATGTCCATTACGGCCTCTGTCCATTTGGAAGGGCTTTTATGCTTTGCTCCGAACCAAATCCTAAATAAATAGTAGAAAGTAGAAAGGAAAACTTAATTCTAATGATAAGCTACATAATTATAAATTTTAAGGAGAGAAAAAAGCTAAGTTCAAATATCCAAGCATGTGGGGGAAAATTTAGCTGCTAGAGTCCCCGGAAATACTCATAGATTACAATTTTTTATAGAGCATAAAAATACAGAGCGAGAGTTCTGTTGAGAGTAAGTGAGAAATCGAAAACGACACTTAGAGATAAGTGTGAAAAATTGCCTTGCTGGTCTACATAAAACTAAAAAGTTCAGCCGACCTAAGGGGGCAGAGGTGTTTAGAACACCAAATAATTAACCTATGGAGAAAAAATAGACCAAGAACAGTCCTACGGATTGTTGTTGTTGCTAGAAGATTTAGAAGCAACAGTCTGCTAGAATACGAAAGCGTGCGAAGGTGGGATTCCAACCTAAGCTTAAACCACGTAAGACAATAAATATATATTGCTTCTGATTCGACGTAATATAACACGTTCCAGATGCTTTCTATATAGTACCTAAGATTGCTTAATAAATCCAACTCCATTCTTAGCCTTATATACGGTTTATATAACGATAATTGATGATTTAAGATTATTATAAAGTCTTTATTCTCCTACTTTTGCTTGCATTTTTTAAGATTTAAGAATATTTGAAGCATTCCTTGTTCTTGAGAATCTTTTTTAAATCTTTCCGTGTGGTTCGGGATATTGAATTAATATCATACAATTTTAATATAGGCGTTAACCAAACTGATGTATTTAATATTGATTCATTGCTGCTGTTTGATATTTTTTAAGAATTCAATTGGTTGATCTGCAGTTCCTTTTAGCAGGGGAGTGAAGCTAGAACATGAGGTTTAGTATTTGCTGCAAGAAGTCATTTCATTAGCATCAAATATTTTGAAATAAGAGGTCAAACGATAATTCGATTCCTTTATTCAATATATTGCGTCTTCGAAAGTTTCATGTTGTTGAACATATCTACCTAAATAACACTCCCTGTTATTCACATGCTCTCTGGAACGTTTAGATTGCGAATTATTTATAGAAGGAATCTTCTATTGATTTGATTGTCTAACGACTTCAAGAAAGCACCTCAGCACAACTTGTTGAAATAGGAACAATCGTGGACTATGCGAGGCCATAAACAAGATGGATTCCAGCAGTTTTCTACATAATTGTTTGTAGTCTAACAAAAAGTGATCTCTTAAAGGCGACTTTACCTAATTTAAGTTTAAGATTTGTCAAATTCTTTCAAATTATTTAGTTTTATGAATTCTTCCCGTGATCGGAAATCGCGAATTGAATTATTAATCTCATATTTCTCATAAAATTGGAAACTGGAATTCGCTCTCGAATAGAATATGAAAGGAATACTGTTTGCATAGCATTTCGTTGCTAACTGATCTTTGATCAACTATTTCTAGTTAGGTTTATTTTCGATAGCTGGTTTCTATAGACCAACACGTTTCTTATTCTATTGAAGTGAAATGTGAAGGAATAGTTTTTTAAGAAACTAGCTTTCTATTCAAATATCAGTCAATCATGGGGATTATCTTCTTTTCAAAACTTTTTAAGTGTTGTGAGCTTAAAATAAAGTATCAGTCTTTTAATTTAGTCTCAGCTGAAAGCATTTACAATACAATACAATTATTTCTTGCATTCATGTGCATGTGATATAACTATTATTTGAAGAAGGTTACTTTCATTTGTAACACTTCGTCTTTCTGATAGAGCAACCCATTTAAGTGTTGGTGAATGTTTCGCTTAATTAAGTCTCTTTCCCATCACTTATTGTAGTGATGCGACAACCCTAGAATACAAATGACAAACTAGTCGTCGAGCAATTAGCACAGCGTTTTCACATTCAGGCCGAACGCCAGCAGAGAAGCATCGTTCTGATTTCCTAGTTTTAATTTATTTTATAAAATGTTTTATTTATTTATTATTCTCCTTTTTTTTGAGCTATTCTTTGTGTTATACACCTTTTACAGGTTAGGTTGGGATTTACCATATTGGAATTATAGGTATTCTTTTCTTAGCTTCCATATGTACGAATTTTTTAATTTGATTTAATCAGCCTTTATTTTATTTATTTATTTATTTATTTTGAATCAGAGAAGCCTATTATACACTTTTTAGAGGTTAGGTTGGGATTTATCGTGTTGGAACTATAGATAGCTAGCTTAAACAACTCCGAAGCAACCAATTTCTTAGCTTCCATATGTACGAATTTTTTAATTTGATTTAATCAGCCTTTATTTTATTTATTTATTTATTTATTTATTTTGAATCAAAGAAGCCTATTATACACTTTTTAAAGGTTAGGTTGGGATTTATCGTGTTGGAACTATAGATAGCTAGCTTAAACAACTCCGGAGCAACCAATTTCTTAGCTTCCATAAGTATGAATTTTTAATTTGATTTAATCAGCCTTTATTTTATTTATTTATTTATTTATTTTGAATCAGAGAAGCCTATTATACACTTTTTAGAGGTTAGGTTGGGATTTATCGTGTTGGAACTATAGATAGCTAGCTTAAACAACTCCGAAGCAACCAATTTCTTAGCTTCCATATGTATGCATTTTTTAATTTGATTTAATCAGCCTTTATTTTATTTATTTATTTATTTATTTTGAATCAAAGATGCCTATTATACATTTTTTAGAGGTTAGGTTGGGATTTATCGTGTTGGTATTATAGATAGTTTGCTTAAACAACTCCGAAGCAACCAATTTCTTAGCTTCCATATGTATGCATTTTTTAATTTGATTTAATCAGCCTTTATTTTATTTATTTGTTTATTTATTTTGAATCAGAGAAGCCTATTATACACTTTTTAGAGGTTAGGTTGGGATTTATCGTGTTGGTATTATAGATAGTTAGCTTAAACAACTTCGGAGCAACCAATTTCTTAGCTTCCATATGTATGCATTTTTTAATTTGATTTAATCAGCCTTTATTTTATTTATTTGTTTATTTATTTTGAATCAGAGAAGCCTATTATACACTTTTTAGAGGTTAGGTTGGGATTTATCGTGTTGGTATTATAGATAGTTAGCTTAAACAACTTCGGAGCAACCAATTTCTTAGCTTCCATAAGTATGAATTTTTAATTTGATTTAATCAGCCTTTATTTTATTTATTTATTTATTTATTTTGAATCAGAGAAGCCTATTATACACTTTTTAAAGGTTAGGTTGGGATTTATCGTGTTGGAACTATAGATAGTTAGCTCAAACAACTCCGGAGCAACCAATTTCTTAGCTTCCATATGTATGCATTTTTAATTTGATTTAATCAGTCTTTTTGTAAATATTTATTTTGAATCAAAGTAACCTATTATACACCTCTTAGAGATTACGCTGGAATTTAACATGATGGTGTATTTCATCCTCGTGTGTAATTTCTTTTAGCATTTATATTTTATATTCTACCTGAGATATGATAGAAAGACTATTCATTTTTCAACTTAACAGTCTGCTGGAACACTGAAATGCTTTTCAAATCTTTTTAAGTGAAAAAAAGTATCAGTCTTTTATTTCATAAGCCTTGCATTGTTAGACATTTCTTCAAGCTGTCCAACACATTTACATTATATTAACTGCCTCAAGTGGGGCGTTACAAATAGGACGCTAAAGCTTAAAGGCCCCACCTTGGCAAGGGTATCAAATGTAAAAAAGCGAGCAAAAAAGAAAAAAGAAAAAATCGACACGGAGACAAACAAAAGTTGTGATACAAAATGCCGTCAACTTGGCTTTGTTGATTTAGGTATATTTGTGTTTAGACAACAATAACAATAATAACAACGGCAACAACAACAAAAGCCGTACCAGCAACAACAACAACAACAACAATAACCACAGCAAAGAGCTCGAGCGATATAATAAAACGTGCGTCCATGTACATAGAGTGCGTATGTTTGTGCGCCTGAATGTTTATACGTTATAAATATACCCTTTGCAGTGTCCCCTGTGCTGCGTTACGTTGCGTTGCGTTGCGTTGTGTTGCGGTGCGGTGCGCCACGCCCACCGCCCCCTCCCTGACAAGCTAAGCCGCAGAAGTCCGCGCGTTACTTTCTTACTTTCGTTTTGTTTTTTGAATACAATT